GGAGGAAGGAAGCTTCTGCTCTTTGCCTGCTTGCTCTCGCCTTGCTAGCAAGTCCATTCCTTCACTGGCATTACAGTCTACTTCTTTGGGATTCCAGCTTCTACTGAAGACTAACTGAGACATCCAGTCTTGTGGGCTGAGCAACTCCTGGATTCTTGGACTTTCCAATCATAGTCAAGTCATTATTGGATTCGTGGGAGCGCAACCTGTAAGTTACTCCAATAAATCCCCTTTCTAAATATGTATATAGAGTGGCTCATTCTGTAAATTCCGTTATTTAAATTTTCTTGTATCTGTTGGGACTTGTTTTGTGTCCAAGTATGTGTTCAATTTTGAAGAAAGTTCCATGAGCTGCTGAGAAAGATGGTATAGTCTTTGTGTTTGGGGAAAATGTTCTATAAATATCTGTTAGGTCCATTTGGTTTATGATGTCATTTAGCCCCAGCATGTCTCTGTTCAGTTTTTGTCTGGATGACCTGTCTATTCACAAGAGTTGTATGTTGAAGCCATCCACTGCTACTGTGTGAAAGTCAGTGTGGGATTTTAGCTGTTTCTTTTATGACCTTGGGTGCCCTTATGTTTGGGGCATAGTAGTTAAGGTTTACAATATCCCCCTTGGTGCGTATGTAGTGTCTTTCCCTATCTCTTCTGATTAGTTTTGGTTTGGAGTCTATTTTGTTAGACATTAAAATGGCTACCCTGGTTTGCTTCTGAGGCTCATTTTATCAGAAAACCCTTCCCACTCTTTCCTGAAGGTGATGTCTATCCTTGATGCTAAGGCATGTTTTTTGGATGCAGAAAGATGGATCCTATTTTCATATCTGTTCTGCTAGTCTCTGTCATTCTATTGAGGGATGGAGACCGCTGATATTGAGAGTTATCAAGGAGTAGTGTTTATTCCTGTCATCTCATCGTCTTGTTGACAGCTACTTGTAGTGAAAAGTGTGGTAGAGATGGTGGATCACTACTTCCTCCCATCCAGCCTCCTTGTCTGCCTGCTCAGGGAAGTGTAATGGTAATGTGGGCTGTGTGGAGCCTTGGTGGGATTGATCACAGGGCCCGAGCGTCTCCCTCAGACCCTGTCAGGAGGGGCAGCAGCTTTGTCAGCATGGGAGGCTGACTGAGGCAGTGGGCTTTCTAGATTGGTGAGAGGAAATTCCCTTGGCAGTCTGTAATCTCCACAAGGCTAGAGAAGACTCCCCCATCTCTGGTGGAGTTCCAGTCTCCATGCTGGAGCGTTTCTTCTCCTCATCCCTCCACATTCTCTCTGAAGTCTTCACACAGCACACAGTCAGCAACATCATGTGCCTGCTGGTTGGCTCCTCAGAGCTGAAGTTCAGAGATCCCTCCCCATTCCAGAAAAGACCATCCCTCAGGTATAGAGGAACTCCTCACTCTACCCCCTGCAGGGCAGCACCTATTCCTATGAAAGTCCCACATACTTCAGTCTCAACTCTTCCTCCAATTAGGGAAAGTGTCTGCTTCCAGGAGCCAGGGGAAGAGTAATATGACTCAAGTCTTCCACAGGAGATGTGATATGGATCCCAGGCTCACAGGAGCCTCAAACTCCCATTCCCTACTGGGCACTCTCCCTTCCCCCAAGTGCTTGCTGGGAGCATATTGACATGGGGCATGTGAATGCTTTCCTTAATCCTTATCAAAAAGGATCAGAGGAGCTGGGGACAAGGTCCTCCAGGCCACAGGCTTGGATGCTGGGAATCCCATATTCTCACAGAGCCCTCAAGAAGTCACCTGGTGGAGTTCTGACAGGTGAAGGTCCACAGTAATTAATTAATTAGTTAATTAATTAATTAAGTGGTCTTGGGCTCTGGATCTGGCCACCACCCTCTTTGCTGGCAATCTTACATGAAAGTTGAACAATGCTCTCTAAGGAGTCTACTTCTTGTGTCGGGCTCATCAGAAGGCAGGTACAGATACCTCCAGGCATGGTGGCCTTTGTCACCTTCATCCCTGTGGCTTGGACTCTACTGGAGTCATCTGTTGGGTTTGGGCTCAAAAGCTGATGACCTGGATAGCCAGTTTATGCCTTGCCCACCAGAGCTGGGGCATGTGATGGGTGTGGTTATTCTCAGATCTGGGTGGGGCGGAACCACTGGGTTCAGAAACGGTCAACTGAGAGGCCACAGCAGCCAGCGTGGGCATCTTTTTGACAATGGTCACACAGCAGGGGAGAACCGCACCGTTATATCCACAAATTTCTCTTGTGTTATGAAACAGCAGTGGTTGTGGCTGGACCCAGTCCTACTGCGCCATAGTGAATGGAACATGAGAGATTCAGAGCAGCATTGGCAGAAACTGTTGTCGTTGGTCATGAGCCCCAAGATGGAACCACATTCATTCATCAGTGCAAAACGTCCTTGAAAAAAAAAAAGGAACCATTGGATACTAGAGTTATAATAACAATGCCAGCAGCCACAATCCATCCCCCCACCCACTTTTTTTTTTCTGAGACAGGATTTCCCTGTGTAGTCCTGGCTGTTCTGGAATTCACTCTGTAGATCAGGCTGTCCTGGAACTCAGAGATCTTCCTGCCTCTGTCTCTGCCTCCCAAGTGCTGGGATTAAAGACCTGCACCACCACCGCCCGGCTGCCACAATGCCCTTCTAATGGAGGACACTTGCTTGGTCTCTGTTGTAGACATGGTATCTTGATGGACTGGGACAATGCCCTCTTTCCTCCAGTGAGCTAGTTTGTCACATGTTAAGTCACTTTTCAGTTTGGGCCAGAGGAAGGACCTCATGTGTCTGTGCAAGATCTGGCCTGCACGCCTGTGAGTTTCAACAGCTGGTGACAGGAAGGTGACCCAGGGGTGAGAATTCCAGACTGTGATGTGAGGAAGACATGATAAGGTTGCCAAATACAAAAAAAAAAAAAAAAAAAAAGACCTCACACTGCCTTTTCACAGCAGAGTCTGAGACTTTAGAGTGTCCTATCTCGGGGAATCATGGGAAACTCCTTGGAAGGAGATGAGGAGACAGCCAGAAAAACAAGCGCACCACAGCCCAAGAGAAGAGCCCAGTGTGTCTTGGATTGTGCTCTTCTCTTTCCCTCTCAGAACCTCTAGAAGCCACCAGCATTCCCTTCGTCGAGGCTTAGGGCACCTGGCTGCAGGAGGCTGCGGTGTCTGCTCTGTGTTGGGCACAGCAGCTCAATGAGAGGCCGATGGTTCTGAGTGGAGCTGATGATTCTGACGTGGAGCTGTTGTTTTAACTTCAGCACAGTGGCTGTGCCTTAATCTACTGCTGTCTCAGCCAGCAATTGCTATGCAGCTACCGGCCTGCTTCAGCAGTCGCTCAGGCCACAGCCTGGAGAGAACTCTGCTTCTGCAGACACTGGCCCTGGCCCTGCTGCTGGAGGTAGCTCTAACTAAATCACCAGCGTTCTAATTATGAATGAGATGTGAGATCAAAGGCTGGGGTGAAAACGTGCAAGCTCAGAGAGGCTGATAGCAGCTGGCTAATCCTCTCTCCTTGCTGGAGCCCACAGAAGACCCATGCTTCCACTTGGCCAAGCCACAAAAAACTGCCACTCCAAACTCCTTCCTACTACTTCCTGTCTCTAGCTCCCGGATCCCCTCTGCGGCTTTATTATTACTTTCTGTCAACTAGTTGCTAACTCAACCTCTTGACCCAAGATTACTTTTATTTAATTAGCACAAATGCAAACTGTGATGAAATACGCCCCAACACAGAGTTAATGATTTTAGCTTTTCCAGGAAGGTCAGTACGCAGAAGAAAATGATGGATTTCAGCAGAGGGGCTTGGCTTCTTAGAGAAGAGTGGAAACTTCCTGACATCAGCTTCCTCAGGAGCTAACCGCAGCACCAAGATAGGTCCCATTTTACTTGTGTCTCTAATGCAAGCAAGTATCATGCACATGTCCCCAGAGCACAACGCCAACATCATGGGCAGTGCCCGACAGTGTGCACACCACTGAGACTTGTCTGTGTCTGGCTGGTGGGTTTCTTGCTGCCCACTCCTCCCAGAGAGCATTTCAGGACACCAGCCCTGTGGCCGCAGCCAGACTCTGTCCTCAGGCAGGTGAGGGGTCCTAGAACCCTGAAGGATTAGTAAAGGACAGAACCACCCTCCTGAAAAGTAATTATCAGGTCCCCTTCATAGTCTGGGGTGATACTCAGGAGGTCCCTCTCTAAAAGACATTGTAAAACAGTGCAGGGACCACCCTGTCTATTGCAAACAGAGGCCTGTCTCCAGATCAGCAAAAGCCGAGAAGGTTCTCATTACAAGTCAGTGGACACTGGGTGAGCAAAAGGCTTACTCGAAGCAAGAGAGGCTTTTCTACAAAGAGCTCAAATGCACGAGACAGAGCCATCCATCCACAGATGCCTTCTCCCGGACAGGCGAATGGGCAAAAAGGTTTATTATTATTTCTATTACTATTATCATTATTATTATTATTATTCTAAAACACCATTAAAAACACACCTATAGAAACAAAGGGGAGAGGAAGGCTCACTGGGGGAGGAGGGCCAGTTTTCATACACTGCTCTCTTATTATGAAGCCATGAGTGGGCCAAAAGGAACCAAAGAATTGAATTGGTCCCTTGACTGCCCCTACCTCCCATGGACACTCAGGTACTCACCAGTGCACAAGCCTGTGTCAGGACCTCATGACGGGAATGCATGGCAGCCAGACTTGTATTCTCTTTTTGATCCGTGGGGGATTCTCCACTGCAAATGGGCAGCGCCTTGACTTTGAGGCCGAAAGAGAAACTACTTCCCGACATCTACCTGATGCTCAAGGGTTGAGTGGCTGTGGGTGGGGAGAAGAAACCTGTGGACAGGAGGCCAGGCTGTACATGGTGGGGTTGGAGACTGACGTGCTGGGTGTCCCACACCCTAGGAGAACTTGGACATGGTCCTTTGCCTCATGTTCAGCGTGGAAGCCATCTGGGGGCCGGGCTCCAAGTTAATCCTGCACCATGGAGGCTTCTAGGGTGAGCAGGCTACTTCCTCTCTCCCATGGTTCCCATGGTTAGATGACTCACAGTGACTAGTCCCAAAGGCCAGGCCCCTTTCTAGCAATGAGCCCTGGGATCCTGGCAAAGTTTGTGGGAGAGTTTGCAGTCAGAGACACAAGGCTGGCGAGCTTGGGATCCTCCAAACAGACAGGCCCCATGTTCTTCAGAAACGCTTGCTCAGGATAACCATCCCTACTGGTCCAGCTCTCACACTGGTAAGCTTCAGGAGGACCCAAGGAGCGATGTAGTACGCACTCAGGAGGCTGAGGCAGGAGGATTTTGGGTTTGAGTCCAGCCTCAAGATCACCAAGAAGTAGTGTGGAACATGGGCCAGGAATCTGCATTTTAACAGGAGCAGATTCAGACACACCTGGCTCACCCCATGAGAAACCCTGGTAGCTGGTGGCTGTTCATGTGTCAACTTGACTACATTCTGAATTAACTAAACCCAAGCAGCTGGGCACACCTGTGAGGGATCTTTTTCTTAATTAAATCATTTGAAGTGGGAAGACCCACTTTTAACCCAGATCTTTTGAGGTGGGAGATCCACCTTTAATCTGGGCGACACCTTCTGGTGGCAGTCGGAATAAGGACGGGGGAGAAGGAAGCTTGCTCTCTGCCTGCTCACTGTCTCTGACAAGTCCATTCCCTCGCTGGCATCAGAGCCTGCTTCTTTGGGATTCCAGCATATACTGAAGACCAGCTGAGACATCCAGCCTCACAGACTGAACAACTATTGGATTGTTGGACCTTGTTGGTAGACAGGCATCGTTGGACTATCTGGACACCGGCCTGTAAGCCATTCTAATAAATCATTCTATATATATTAATTCTATAAGTTATGTTCCTCTTGAGAACCCTGACTAATACAGTAGCTGAGTCCAATTTTGAGGCAAAAATCATACTCAGGGCCTTAGCTGCCTAGGGAAATGGTGAGACTAGCTGCTGACACTGTCCTGGTGAGGAGTCAATGGCAGGCCTGCTCCCTGTCACCTCCTGGGATTTAGGCCCCGGCAGCAGCTGCCCAGCACTATACAATTAAATTCACTGAGTCTTCCAGGGGTGGCTTGTGTCTGAGACATTGAGATACTCAATTAGGACCTGCCTGTGGCCCATCTTTCCTGGGGAAGTGACAATGAGTTTGTCTTACACTTCACTAGTGACTGCGTTTTTTCTTAGGCATTCCATTTACCTGGAGATGACTTCCATCATGTCACACAGGCCAACAAATCTATGGGGGCCCCATGAAGTTGTCATGATCTGGTGGTCACTTTAGCACCTGGCCAGGGCCTGGGGAGCTCCCTTGTTCTCTGTAGACATGGAGGTGTTCACTCAGGATGGATCCTGGCTCTCATTTCTCTATGGTCCCGTTGTTTGGGACACCTGGAACCTATGACATCAGTGCATAGCTCCAAACATTAATAGAAGTACCCAAATGCCACAGAAAGCCACAGGAAACACTGGCTTTATCAGCGTAGGGTAGGGTATCATCACACTGATGACCACCTGTCTCTTTTTGTTCAGGACATAAGACTTTCACTGCTAAACAGGACAGTCCTGGGTGGCTAGGAGCATTGATGGCAAGAGATGCTCCTTTCCGTATGGGCCCTATGGCCTGGAGGTTCTCCCAGCCCTGTATCCCTCAGATGCCTGGCTGCCTCACCTCCCCCACAGCCGCCTGTTCTTTCCCTGAGACTCCAAGTCACACTTTTATTTAGGGAGTGTTTGCTGGCACTTGGATTCTTCAGGCTGAGACTTCCACTATAGAAATAACCCAGCATCCTATTCATCATGCGTCCCCTGGGGCCTGGCACAGAGCCTGGAGCCTGTGGAGAGGTTGAGAAACACATCCTGTGTCACACATGATCTCATCCTATTACCATAGCAACAGATAGCCCAAAGGCCACGAGGATGGTTCTGGTCCTTGGCAAACCTCATACTGGGCGCCAAACTCAACTACGACACAAGGCACTGACCAAGAAACCACTGTTGTGTCCTCGCTGTTATTCTAGACAGAGCAGGGCCCATCTCACAACTCTCAACAAACTTAAAAATAACAACTGAACAACCAACTCCCAGCTGGTGGCTTTTGCTGTAAAACAGTGGCTGTCAACCCCAGCTGCATCTTAAAATCACCCAAGACTACTGGGACCTAGGTACAAGATTAGTACTGTGTGTGTGTGTGTGTGTGTGTGTCTGTATGTATGTATGTATGTATGTATGTATGTGTGTGTGTCTCTGTGTGTGTCTGTATGTGTCTGTGTGTGTAGGTACTAAGGGACAATTTTCAGTGTCATCCTCAGGAATGACATCTACCTCCTTTGAGACAGGGCCTCTCGTGGGTTTGGAGCACCCAATTAGGTGAGACCAATTGGTCAGGAAGCCCCAGGGATCCTCCCGTGTCTGCCTTCTCAGTCCAGGGATTACAAGCACACATCAGCACATCCAGTTTCCTGTGGGAGGTGAGTTTTGAACTCAGGTACTCACGTTAGCAATGCGAGCACTTTACAATTGGCTGAGCTATCTTCTTGGCTGTGCCCACTCACCTGTTTCCTTGAGATAGGGTTTCATGTAGCCCAGGCTGGCCTTTCCAACTTGCTATATAGCTGAGGATGACCTTGAATTTCTGATCCTTCTGCTCCCATATCCTAAGTGCTGGGATTACAGGTGTGTGACACCTCACCCAGTTCCCATGGTGCTGGGGACCAAGCCCAGGACTGTGTGCATGCTACAGAAGCGCTCTGCCAACTGAGCGCCCCAGCCTAGGATCTGTACTTTTCTCCCGAGCTGATTCCAAATGGGCACCCAGCTTTGAGAGCCACTGCTCTGGCAGGCATTCCCTGCAGCGCCTGTTGGGCCTCCTCTCATGTGGCCTTTGCAGTATTTACTGACTGAGTCTTCCAGTGTCAGCAGCATCCCCTGGTCAGCCCCATGAGGTGGCTTCTCTGGTAGGTGATCATGGACACTGTTCAGAACCAGCAGAAAGTCCTGGCTCCCCACATCTGCTGCTGCCTCCTACCCTGGTGATCAAGGAGCCTTCACCTACAGGAGGATGCCAGAGATGCAGGGACCATTCCTCACTTCCTTACTTCTGTGCTAACAGCTGGCCAGCCAATGGGTCTTGGAAATCTCTGATTTGTGTTGTTTAACTATTGCTGTGTGTCAGTATCCCCACCCTGATCCGTGACAGGCTCTCGTCCTTCAGTGACTGAGCAGAAGGCAGGGAAGGGACCTGTATCACATCTGCCAACTTTCTCGAGCTGCAACAAGGCCATTGCAATCCCCGTGCTTGTGTAGCTTCCCAAGTCATTGCTTGGCTCCACCCCCAACCCCTGCTGGGATTCTCAAACTGCAGGGAATCTCAATCTGCTGAAAGTCCAGAGGCACAAACAGACCTTGACGGGTGGGGCTCCTTTGGACTCTGATTGTGAGCCTGGGCTATACAGACCCAGTGGGGGCATCTTTGAGGAGAAGCTCGATGTAACTAGACAGCAGACACTCGCTTAAACTGCATTGCATGTGGTGGTCCTCAGTGTTCACAGTAGCGTTTCTCATCTAGGTCTCTTCACCCTTCAATGTGTCGGGCAGGTTCAGGGAGGGAGGTGCTCGCTTCATTGGCAGATGAGGAAGCAGAAGGTTCGCGGGGACTCGTCCAAGTCCCACACATGGAAGGGTACTCAAGTCTCCGGACAAACAATGTGAGGCTCCAGAGCTTACACCCCACAGTGGGCACTCTCGGGCACCCACAATAGTAGGGTTAGATGATTTAGGCACCAGGTGAGGCACAACACTGGTAGTTAGAAGGCGTGGCTGGGAGCAATGACTTTAAAGCTCCTGTAGCCATGGCAACTACTCATGTCTGTAATGAAGGGAGGGTACAACATGCACCACCCCGCCCTCCAGGCATTAAAGTTCACGTTCCCGAAGAAGGGGTGTGTCCTGACCCCAGCAGCCCCTTCCTCCTGGCAGCCCAGCCTATGCTTCCAGTCTCTGGTGATAGGAGAGTCCCATGAGGGCATGCGGTTGGGCCTCTCCATCTGCCACTCTTAATCTCAGGGTTGTGGGTTCATGCCCCATGTGAGCAGCTGTGGTAGGAGAGTCCCATGAGGCCATGCAGTTGGGCCTCTCCATCTGCCTACACCAGAAGGGCAAAGGAACACCTGTGGCTGTGGCTCGTGTAGATGGTCCTCCTCAAGCCTCCCCGGTGTCTCCTCCTAGGACTCAGCCTTGAGGGTGATGTCACCCCAGATAGAAGAATTGAGGTGGCAGCGGGGAAAGCACAAATCGTATCTTGTGAAACACTAAAGCCACACCTTCAGTCACCCCTAGCTGCCCCATCAGGTCAGTGGCTCAGGTTAGTGCCCACATGTGGGCTTCCCTTTTCTATTTTGTTTATTGTTTACTTATCACTATGCATGGATGTACGCGCCGCAGCACGTTGGAGGTTGGAAGACAGCTTAGTGGGGGTTGGTTTTGTCTCTCCACCTTACATGTGGGCTCCAGGAACTGAACATGGGTTATCAGGTGTGTGTAAGAAACGCTTTACCTGCCCAGCCACCTCCCTAGCCCTGGGCTAATCTTTTTCAGACGTAAGGAACTGGGTTGTGCAGTCTCCATCCCAAGAAACACAAACGGTACATTGCTGTGCAGTGGATGAGTCTACCACTGCAGCCCCGGAGCCCGCAGCGCTGGCAAATTGGTAGCATCTTCAAGGATGACAAGGTGAGAGGCAGGTTGAGAAGCTCATCAGCTCCTGCCAGGCAGGACTGGCAGCTAGTCGACACTTCTGCTTCCCGCAAGGAGTGCCAGAAAACCAGGCTTTCAATGTGAAATCTCTTCATTTGAAAAGTTTGGCTATTAACTCAGCATCTGACTGTTTCTAAGATACTTTGCACAGGGGGAGCAAGACATCCCCCCCACAGTGTTACCAGTGTGCAAGCACATTAGCCCAGCAGAAGGTGTGGTGGATGGGAGAAGAAGGCAGAGTGGTTCCCTGGAGGGGAGGACGGCAAGTAAGCGGGAATGACCGGTGGGAGGCTCTAGACAGGGCGGGGATAGTTCAGAGACGGGCTCAATGGGGACCTTAGGGCGGTACATGACTGGGCCTCAGGATTGGATCCAGGGAACAGAGCAGTTAGATGTGTGACCATCTAGACCTCAAGGAACAAGGCTGCGAAGGTGGGTGGTGACCAGGTTCCTTGCTGTTTGTGTAGCTGTCTAACCCATTACAAGAGTCAGGACAGAGTGACCCGATTAAGATGCTGTGGCTGAGGAGGTCCAGACCACAGTTCCAAAACACAGAGGAAGGCTTGAGTCTTCTGGTGGTTCTTCCCCTTACCAAAGAAAGACCAGGGATCAACCATTTGACGTTTGACCATCAGGCCACTGCCTTTCCCTTAGTGGCCATACGGTGGCAGCAGAGGGACAATAGTGTTCCTGTTGGCAGCAAGTGTTCCAACTCGGAAGCCTGGCATTGAAGCGGTGGTTTGGAGGGCCTGGAGAGTGCAGGGAAGTGTAGACGTGTGAGGGCCATCTTTGTCTCATTCTCTCAGTGTGTTCATGTCCCTGTTGAGGTCTCTTGCAACCCTGACCTAAGACATCAGTGATACACTGGATCATGGCTGTGGTGTTCTGTTCTACAGGCTTGTCACACTGCATAGATGGCTGGGCCAAGGCATAATCGGGTATTGTCACAGCCATCTCTCCACACCCCTGACTTCTGCTGCCTGTTCTTCCTGTTCCCCACCTCGACTGTACTGGAGTGGCAGTCTGAAGACACAGGCGTTGTGGGTTTTTTCGTTATGTGTACATGTCATTTTCGTCCATACCTTTTACACTGTCATTGGCAGAGCGACACTTCCTCTTCTCCCAGACACAATCAGATGACAGATCCAGCCCCAAATCTTTCCTGTGGCTCTGTGACCCAGGAAGCAAGCTGGTGAGAGGAAATGGCCAGGCAGGGGTGGCTGCAGGGAAGAGGTCCCTGGGGGTGGGGGCTAAGACCCAGGGTTCTCTGGCCCTTTGGGTACAGAAACTTAGCTGTTTCCCTTTAAACTTTCAGCCCCAGCCTTCCTAAATTCCAGCCTGGGCACGGACGGGGATGCAGAGGCGGGAGAGGAGGGGTCCCTTGCAGGCAGGACTGACCATCTGCTGCCCCAAGTGTAGAGGGGCTTCAAGGAAAAGCAGTCTGTGGCCTTGCACGGGCCTGAAACTGGACACACAGACCCTCCCTGTCTCTGAGTGCTTATGGTTGACATCAGAGGACAGGCAAGGGCAGGGAGTGGCTGACTCCACATGACATCAGAGGACGGGCCCAAGGAACAGCAGTGGAGCAGCAGCTGGGCTGGAGGGGCCAGAACTACAGAGAGGACATCACTACAGAGAGGACATCATCACTACAGAGAGGACATCACAGTCACTACCTTCTTCCCCCCCCGCTTGTCCAGTGCACAGACCTGGTCCAGCCCACTGCAGCCAGCCCATCCCTCCCCACATGCTCTGCCCGTTCACTGATGCTGTCACACAGGACTGAGCCGTCACCAGCTTCCCATGTCGTGGATGGACAATGAGAAGATAGTCAAAGACTCCCAGGGCATCCCCACTCTCCTGCAGTCCTTGGCCTTAAGGAAGAGGAGGCCCAAGTTCAAGCTCAGGGCCTTGCTTGTAAACCAGGTATCCTTTGATGACTTCCCCACACCCGCATGGATGCTCATTCAACCCTTATCCTCTAGTTTATGAGGCAACCCTGCCCAGCATCGCCAGGTTTCCTCCAAGGGCCTTCTGACCATCCCACATCGAGGAGCAGCAGTCATTGTGGTGTGGAGAGCTGAACCATCCACAGCGTCCTATGTCCTGTTCCTGTCCACTCAGCCTGTCTGGTGAACTGAGCACAGGTTGGGACCACCCCCGGGCAGCAGCCTCTGGGCGCTATGCGGCTCACCAGGAGCCCACCGTGTTGCAGACGGGCTTGGCTTCCTCAGATAACTAGGGGAGTACACCTCCCCAGCCTCCAGCATTCGGCAGCCTGCCTCCTTCCAGCTTGCCTTCTCCTTGATCACCTCACAGAGGAGGCAGCCCAGGCTCCAGCAGTCTGGGCTCAGGACGCTGTCCAGGTCTTCCCGGTCTGAGGACAGAGGGAGGGGACAAGGAGAGTGAGGGCAGCAGGATGCACCCCAAGCAGGCAGGCCAGTGCTGCTCCCCAGCCCAGCACCCCTGATGCCGATGGGGTTCTCACAGGAGGCCTGGAGTCTTGGGCCAGGGCAACCGTCCTTCCAACCGCCAGCTGCCACCCAGCAGGTGCTGCAAACACCACTTTGTCAGAGAGCCTTCCCTGTGCACGTCACTGTGCTCAAGGGCTCTGACTGTAGCTTCGGAATTCTTACCGAGGTGGTGTCTCCCCAGACTGAACGCGCACAACGTTTTTGCTACTGTGACACTCCCACAAACAGGATGTGTTGCATACATAGTCATTTTAGTGAAGAAGGGTGTCCACCTACCTTAAAGACAATACACAATCTACCTGGACTTTGAACCATCCCTTGGGGTGGGGGTGGGGGGCTGGAGATGGCTCAGCGCTCACTGGATGCTCTTTTAGAGGACCAGGGTTTGATTCCCAGCAGCAGTCACATGACAGTTCTCTTTTAGACTGGATCAGTTTTGCGTAGCTCAGGCCAGAAGAGGGCATCAGATCTCATTACAGATGGTTGTGAGCCACCATGTGGTTGCTGGGAATTGAATCAGGACCTCTGGAAGTACAGTCAGTACTCTTAACCTGTGAGCTATCTCTCCAGCCCTCGATTCCAAATCTTAAGATACATTACAGAGTCATAGTAATACATTCACAACCACAAATTCAGAACACCCAGTCTTTCCTCTGGGAGGCAATGAGGATAAAACAGTATGGTATTGGCACACACACACACACAAAAGACATGTAGACCAAGGGGGGAAAAATCCAAGACCCAAACATGAGCACAAGTAACTTCAGCCACTTAACATTTAACAAAGACTCCAAAAATACTGAAAAAAAGAAAAAAAGAAAAAAAAAGAGAAGTCATCTTCCACAAATAGTGCTGGGAAAACTGGATGCCCACATGCAAAAGGATAAAATTATATCTGTACCCATCACCTTGCAGAAATACTTAACTCCAAAATGATCAAAGACCTAACCTGAAACACCAAAACTGCTGGAAAAAAACATAGGCAGCGTCCTACATGATACAGGTGTAGGAAAGGACTTTCTCAACAGGATTCCATTTGCACAAGAATTAAAGCCAACTACTGACAAGTGGAACATCATAAACCTAAAACCGATTCTGCGAGGCTAAGGGAATGAATCAACCAGGTCAGGGCTGGCAAGGCTTCCGTCCAGTGAAGATGCGGTCTCAGTTTGTCCTCTCAGGGTAACCTCGAGACTCTGGGAGAAGGCAGGTGAGACGTGTGGAATTGCACAGATTTAGGAGAGGAACGTTACTAAAGATACAGAAGGGTGCCTGGGTGAGGCTCGCTGCTGGCTGCCCTACAACATTTAATGCCCAGTGGGCTTCTTGGGAGGCAGAGGTCACTGAATTTTAAATGTCCTGGAGGATTCTGAGATTGCTTCACAGGAAAAATATGAAGTTTTTGACATGATGCAATAATTTGCTTAAGTAGAAAAAATTGTAAAGCAATTTGGGAAGCCACTCCTTTCTTGACTGACCGGTCTTTGGAGGTGGTTCATCTTTTCTTCTTCAAAGAAATGGAGAAGTGAGAAGGGCAAAGGCCTGCCCTGGAATCTGGGCTCAGAGTCCAACATGGCCCCCGAGGCCCAGACCGCACTGCTCTGAAGACTCTGCCTCTGTCACACCCACTAGGAAGGATCAGGAAGGAACACAGGCCTTCTCCAGGGCCCTGGACCATACACACCTGCCTGCCAGCCAGACAGGCCTGCGTGGCGAGGATGTGCGCCCAACTCTGTGCTGTTTAACAGGAAAGGGGAAGGGAGCATGTGAGTACCACAGTGAGCCACTGGACCTCAGCATGGGTTGTTCTGAGAACACACCGGACCCCTCAAAGGACCCTGAGCTCCCTGCTCCTCCACACACACCTCTCTCAAGGTTGTCAAGGCTGGGGGTGGGGTCAGGAGCAAGCAGGGGACCTGAGAGTGTCATTACCAAGGTCAGGCTGGCTCCTCTGTGAGACAAGTGTCATAGGATGTCTGCCTCCACCTCTGGGCTCAGGTGGTCTGCTGTCTCTGGGCCAAGGCCATTGTGAGCTAGTTTCTGTCCTCACAGGGGTTTAACACAAATGCTGAGGTTTGCCATTGCCTAGGAGGCCAGTTCTGGTTCCCATCCTCATACAGATGGCAGAGGACAGGCTACTGCGGTCAGAGACTCCCAGGAGGTCTGGGAAGACCTGCCATCACAGAAGGCCCTGGGGGCAGAGCAAGTCCTGGAAACAAAAAGAGAAGTCACTAAGGCCAGAACACCAGCCCTATAGGGTTGAAGGCTGTAAGGTGGTTCTCAACCTGTGGGTCCCGACCCCATTGAGGGTCAAACAGTCTTCTCACAGAGGTCATGTAGGACCATAGGAAAGCACAGATATTTACATTATGATTCATAACAGTAGCAAAATTACAGTTATGAAGCAGCAATGAAAATAATTTTATGGTTGAGGTCACCACAACACAAGGAACTGTATTAAAGGGTCACAGCATTATGAAGGTTGAGAACCACTGCTTAAGGCAAAGATAGGCCAGAAGAGAGACCCCTCTGGATGGGGTCTGAGGAGGCTGCGACATCACCCAAGTCCTGCTGTGCCACAGCCTGGGAAGAAGCTCAGGCAGAAGATGCAGGTGTCCCCAGTGTCTCCTCTCTTCAGCGACAGGCTCTTGCTAACGGGACTGCATTACCCGGGAGTGGGGCAGGCAGAAGATGGATTTCCAGTGGAAACTTGGCAAAGATAAAGTACACAGCGCTGCAACCCAAGGCCGACAATGCTGGCATCTAGATGCGGGCTCCAGTGCAGTCCCAGCTAGCTCTGTTTGCTTAGCAGATAGCATCTGTACTGGCTGGTTTTGAGTGTCAACTTGACACAAGCTTGAGTCATCAGAGGAAGAAGCCTCAGCTGAGGAAATGCCTCCATGAGATCCAGCTGTAAGGTATTTTCTCAATTAGTGATCAATGTGGGAGGGCCCAGCCCATGGTGGGTGGTGCCATCCCTGAGCTGCTGGTCCTGGGTTCTATAAGAAGGTGGATAGAGCAAGCCGTTGGTAGCAAGCCAGTAAGCAGCACTCCTCCATGGCCTCAGCATCAGCTCCTGCCTCTATTTGAGTTCCTGTCCTGACTTCCCTCAGTGATGAACAGCAATGCTGAAGTGTAAGCAAATAAACCCTTTCTTCCCCAACTTGCCTTTTGGTCATGGTATTTTGTCATGGTAACAGAAATCCTAAGACAGCATCTATCCTTTTGGGGAGTGGTTCATGCATCCAAATCCTGGACAGTCTCACCAAATGAGATGAGTGTTTTCATACCCATCATTATTACAAACCAGCTTTTCCACTCTTTGTTATTTACATGGACTTCTTTTGATTCCAAATAAGGGCAAAAAACTCTCATCTCAAGAAACCAGTGGCCGTGGCTAGGAGCTGCTGGCCAAAACCAAACCCATAGAAAGTCCAGGGCAAGGTGGCCAGGACAATGAGAGACAACTGGTAATCCAGGGTTCCCTCACTCTTTCTTTTAGTTAACAGGCAATCAGGACAATCTAAGAGGTTCTTTGTTCTCAACCCTTAGGGGGAAACAGAAACACAGTCAGGGCTGGTATTTGGGGTGGGGGTTCTCAGGAACATTCTTTCTTATTTCTAAAGTCTCCTGGGGTCCCAAAATAATCTCTACCCAGAGTTCCATGCAAAGTCATCAGTTGACTGTATGGTGCCCATGGATGTCTGATGTCACCATGGTTTGATATGGGTCAATTACATCACATTTCTCAAGGGACTCAGAGGATTATGGTAGGTACCTGGGGCAGGGTTGCATACACTGGCAACGTCCAGTGTGGAGTTCCTGACATCATCCCCTTCAAGAGCTTCCTCCAAACAGCTTTTTGGACAGATGATGGTGGAAATCCATTTGCTATAGCAGTTAGATTCCACTGGATCCCTTCAGAAATGGGGTGTAACTGACTTAATCAAAACCATCAACCCCTTCTCTTGAACACATCAGGGAATAGCTCAGTGTTGGCTCACATGCAGGAAGAGGGGCAGACAAGATGGCTCAGAGATTGAGAGCACTGACTGTTGTTCTAGAGCACTGACTGTTCTAGAGGACCAGAGTTTAACTGCCACTACTCACATCGAGGTGGCTCACAACCACCTTAATCCCAGCTCCGAGGGCTGCATTGCCCTATTCTGGCCTCAGCAGGCAATGTGCTCACTCAAACACACACACCCACGT